AATTAAATAAAAAAGTTATTTGTAAATTTTTATTTTAAGCAATATTTTTTGAGATATAAGAGTTTAAATTTAGTCAATTATAGATTAGTACTCGTGAAGTGCATAAACCACTGATACTAGCGATGCGTTTACATGTTTCCATTTAATCGTAATCTAATAAATGGCTAAATTTAAACTCAATTCAAACTTATATCTCAAAAACTACTGCTTAAATTAAAAATGTACAAATAACTTTTTTACTTCATTTTTTAAAGACTTTCTTGCTATGATATTTTGATTCGCGAAATTCGGGACATCTTATATTTCATATGTTCTTTGTGTTTTTATAAAAATCAAAACATCACGTACACAAAATTTCGTTTTGCGGTATCCATTTCACAATCATTAGATTATCCGGTATTTCAAATGGCACTTTAATATCTAATTTCCACAGTACACGTTGTTTCAATTTCGACACAGCCAGTATAACTATCTTTATCTTGTCTATTCCAATAGCCTTCCATTTCACCCTTGTTCCTAACGATATTACGATGGCTCCATTCCTTGCTCCCTCAAGAAATGTACGCATATTCTACGAAATAATGGTGAACTAAACATTTCAATAATATTATACGATATATAAGCATAAATATTTTATTGTCAAAATAGCTAGTCGTAAATAGAAATGCATACTTTCAAGCGAATTATTTAAACAAAAAGTCAAATTTAAATTGTCGAATTTATTCATATGAGCTTCATATAACATTTTCTTTAAAAGTCTTTATCAATCTTTATAAATAATATTTTAAAAAATATTTTTAAGTTTTTAAATTTAGCAATATGCCACATATTATTTACTCTCTATAATTGTAATTCATCCTGTGCTTAATAAAAAAAATTAAATAGCAATTACTGAATAGTTAAAACTATATTATAATATAAATAACAGTTCCATAATTATATTATATTTAAATTCATATCAAGATTACATCAAATTTCCATTTCCTCAGTATGCAGTTTTTTGCAAATACTTTTTTTTCAATTTTTGCTTTTCAAATAAGAAGAATAATTGCTTTTACCTCGGGATACGTTACGACTACCTCGCCGGTAATCGGTTGCACGATCTGAGCATTCAGTCCTGCAATCTCTAGAGTGTTTGGCGGTAATGGGATTCCATAGTCGAATGTAGGATGACTATTGATTAGTACAATATTAATACTGTCTCTTTCTATTTCGTATAATGGCCTGGTTGCATGGCCTATGTATTTCGCAGTATGCCGTTGAATAATAGGCAAGTAATAATAATGTCGCATGAGATCATCCGCAACATAATATAGAGCATTCCATATTTTTTGCCAAAAACCTATAGGCTTTGCAGTATGCGGATAAGGTTGAACAGTTGGATAATTTGGGCCACCGATATAATCCTTCAGCCAAGGTGTAAAGCCAAACGGAACAAATCCCACAACGGGTGGCTTACCTTTAGCAACCTACAATACAATACAGTACAATACAATACCTAACAAACAATACAGAGTGATATTGGCAATAGCTAAAATTATATAACGGTTATTTTTATTGTAATACATAGACAAAATAAAATAATGTAAGAAAAAAAAAGCTCAATTTCAGCCAATTTTAAAATAGAAAAATTAATTTAATTTAATTTAATGTAGTTGACATAAAATAAGTTCAGATCGTTTCGAATATTAAAGTTTCTTGTTTGGCTGAGGATAACTTCGTAAAGTCGAAATATTCCGAACTCATTAGTACAGTATTAATACTGTCTCTCTCTATTTCATATAATTCATTTCATTCTGTTTACTCATTTTTTAAAATAATAGTTATATAGTTTTAACAATTTCCCGATTAATACCCTATGTATTTATAGAGCAATTATCTTTTCACATATTCTTAACCATTTCAGAAGTTCAATGTTTGTTTTAACTTGTTATCAAGATCTATTATCACTAATTATATAAACAATGACTAGGCGCTTGCTATATACAAATTGATTTATAAGGCAACTTCTTCGACTAAGTCGCTTGCAATTGAAAGTGGGTTATAAAACAATTACATTTTATTAATTAGCTAATATCTTTACCTCCCACAAGCCAAATAAACATTCAACTAATGTGATACCGTGCACTATAACATCAAACTCGACAGTCTTGATCATTTCCAAAAGATTCTTTGCTTCTTTAGTTTCTATCACTGTGCTACATGCTTTGATGCCATAATTGCGTATAAAATACACCATATAAAATGAGCTGTAATGCATCCATTCAGCTGGATTAAAATCCTCAGATCCTTCAAACTCATCCATCAAACCATCGAAAACCTGAAAATAATAAATAGATACTCTACACTCTAAAGGATAAGTGACATATTAAAGCCCCATCTACATAAGTCGCAAACGCACAACGCAAACGCAAATGCGGAGAAAAAAAAGAACGAAATGTCAAAAAATAAAAGAAAAGAAAGAGAGA